TACTTCCATAGTGATACTGCCTCGGAAACCCAAGAAGGAGTCGCTATAAGTCGGGTCCGACTCGATGGCATATAACAACAACAACACCACTCTTCAAAAAACTGGAATGATTTAAAATGTACTTTGTCCCTGCTTAATACAATAGGAGGGATGGTTTCACTTATTTCATAGTTAAGCTTATTATTGTTGCCTTATACACATGTAGAAATAGAAAAATAGGATGAGTTATCATTTCCCATACCTTTCACTGTGACTCAGTGCTGCATTTCTAACGAAGAACCTATGTATGTGCTTTAATAATTTACGATAGGCATAAGCCAGGGTAGCTTTTGTACTAAAAGGTTATTTCTTCAAGACCTGTTGATTTCTTTTTTTCTTTATCATTAGCTAAACCCAATATATATTGAGTAAGAGTTCATTGTCAGTTTTTGAATTATGATCATTGTTCATAAAAATAATTAAATAAATTCTTACTACAAATAATATGACAAGACACCAATCCCACTGCTCTCTATATGATGACAGTGGTAAGCCACATAAGAGTAAAAAGAAAGATCCTTGTGTACCTTTCAGAGCAGTGGCAAAAGTATAGAACAACAATATGCATCTTAAATCAGTGAATAGTATACTACCTCCCAGTGACTTTTCTGCTAATAATAATTGATTTGCTGTTACTAGAGATTTGTAGTGATTCAGGCCACTGCACAACACTCAATTTATAAAATCTTCATCCTGCTCATGTAAAATTCACTATGCCCAGTAGTTCTGGGATCATCATATTCATGCCTGTATTGAAATAGTCAAATTGTATTATATTCTCGTTGGTAAAAGAGATGCTTATGTTGACAGAATAACGAACTAAGTCTTTTACCTGTTTTGTAGTGAGCTGATCCAGTTTATTACAAGTGGTCCTGTTATTGCCATGGAGATTTTAAGAGATGATGCTATATGTGAATGGAAACGATTACTTGGACCTGCAAACTCTGGGGTGGCACGTACAGACGCGCCAGGAAGCATTAGAGCCCTGTTTGGAACAGACGGCATACGAAATGCAGCTCATGGTCCTGATTCTTTCGCTTGTGCTGCCAGAGTAAGATATTTTAAAAATATTTAAACTATGCTTTAGTTTTGTTAAATGTTTTATGTCAAAATAAAACATTTTTGTCACTAGTGACTTAGTAGGATTTATAGATGTCATTAGTAGTAAAGAAAATCTTTGACCCTTTGTCTAGGATCATACGTTTCCTTGGTCAGGCAAGGATGCACATTCAAAATACATTGTCTTCAGTGAAAACATTTAATGGCACATTTCTTGTTCCCAAGACTTAAATTACTGAGACTCATAATGGTTTGAATATTGAATTAATGTAAAAATAGTAGTTTATGGATATCAGTACCAATACCAGTTGCAATGTGTTCTGGTTACTACTACTGCTCTGACAAGAGTATACCACAAATGGATGAATCAAACAAACAGGAGTTTATTGTCTTACAGTTTGGGAGGCTAGAAGTCCAAGTTCAAAGTGCCAGGTCATAGGGGCTGTGTGAAAGCCCCTTGACCTTGGGCTTCAGCTCTGCCTCTTGCTCCCAGCCCATTGAAGCTAGAGCCATCTCTTCACTCAGGCAGCTACTGGCTGCTGAAGCTAACAAGCCCAAGGTCAACAAAAATGGCACAGTCCCGATGTTACCAAACAACATGGCAGGACTTTGATTCAAGTCCACTGAAAGTCCCAGGATCAGCAGAGCATGGCAGGGTGCTCAACAATGACACGGTTACATGTAGGGTTCAAGTGTGCCTTAAGCTAGAGACCATTCCCAAGGCTTCTCCTTGTATACAGGAAGCAGACCACATTCCAAAGGGAGCTACTCAGCTGCTCACAGTAGATTACACCATGGAGTTGATTACCAGTCTCATCATGGGAAATACTACATCTGGCTGCCCAGCCACTTGACCAGGCCCAGCCTAGTTGACACACAAACTGAACTACTATACCATGGAATTGATTCCAATGTGTGGTGGTCCCTTGTGTATCTGAGTAGAACTGTGCTCCATGGATTTTTGATGGCTGATTTTCCACAATTAGATCACAAAACTTTTCTTCTTAGGCACCTCTGAATGGACTCAAACCTTTATCCTTTTGTGTAGTAGCTAAGCATGTTAACCATTCATACCACCCAGGCACTTGAGTTCATGGACAGTAAATATCAAAAAATAAAGCATGACTTTATACAATGTTACTTTGACTCAGACCAAACGCACACTCTACTTTCAAGCTTAAGCCTCTTTTTTATTTTCCTTTATAGCTAGTGATTATGAATGAAAATTCCATATACTTACTCTTTATTTCATATCTATATGAAAAAGGTATTATACTGGGTTTGTACTGATGTCGAATTGAAGAAGTGCAAATTTATCCTTAGCATTGTGAAAGAGGTTTTCAGTTGAAGTAAGATAGTTTTTGGTCTTGTCATGTTTGCAATAAAATAATATTTGAGAGTTTATAATAATTAATTTTCTCTTTATCTTTTATCTCCATGAACAAGTTCTTTCAGCTTAACATTCAAAATAGATGGTAAACATGACTACTGTTTTCTAAATCACTGTTGTATTTTTACATGACTGCAGTACCTTTCTAACTATTCTTTCTTCTACTCCTCTTACACTTAATTAATGAAAATTTTACTCTGCCCAAATAAAATTCTCTATGCCCAAAGTGATCTTTTTAAAACAAATCAGATTAGGGTATGGGGATATTGGCACTCTCATACACTGCTGGTGGGATTGAAAAATGGTACAACCACTGTGGAAAATGGTATGGCACTTCCTTGGAAAGTTAGAATTAGAGATACCATATGATCCAGCAATCCCACAACTATGTGTCCTGGAGAAATAAGAGTCCTGACATGAATAGATGGATGCACACCCACGTTCATCACAGATTCACAATAGCAAAAAGTTGGAAACAACCTAAGTGCCCATCAGCAGATGAATGGATAAACAAAGTATGGGACATACATACATTGGGATATTATGCAATGTTAAAGAATGGTTATGAGTGTCTGAAACATTTCTCAATGTGGATGAACTTGGAGGACATTATGATGAGTGAAATAAGTCAATCACAGAAGGACAAATATTGTATGAGACCACTATTATAAAAAGTCAAGAAAAGGTTTACGTACAGGAAGAATCATTCTTTGATGCTTATCGGGAGGGAGAAGGAAGACAGGAACATCACTAACTAGATAGTAGATGTATATTTACGTGGGTAAAGGGAAAGGCAATCTACAAGGAGAGGGAAGTCAGCATAACATGACCAAGGCAAAGGAAGACACTGGGAGGTACACCAGAGTAAAAGGCAACAATGGTAAGTACTAATACAATAATCCTGCAATAATGATAATAATAAACAGTAATTTACATGTAACTACGTAAGTATATATGTGAGCTGAACAGGTATGAAATGGCATATGGAAGTACACCCACGAGCATATATAGGTTTGGCAGAGGACATTTCTGTTTGTATGCATTTGTATGTACTACAAATATATCCATATTTGTATATACATATATCTGTGTACATAGTAGAGCATACAGGGGGCAAAATTATAACCAAATAACTTTAGGGGCTGAATCACTGGGCTTGAGGACTTAGGACCATAACCTTGGGAGTTATCTAGGTGAGTGGGCATAACCCAGTCCATAAATAAAATGTTCTACATCCTATTTTGGTAAGTATCAACTGGGATCTTAAAAACTTGAAAGCAATCATCTAAAATACTCCCATTGGTCTCTTCCTGTATGGAGCAAAGAAGAATGAAGAAAATCAAAGACTCAAGGAAACAATTAAACAAAAGGACTAATGGATCATGTGAGCCGTAGCTTCCATTGCTCTGAGACCAAAAGAACTAAATGGTGCTTTGCTACTGCTATGGACTGATCTGATCAGAATCACAATAGAAAGTCCTGGACAGAGTAGGAGAAAAATAGACAACAAAATTAAAAATCATAAAATAGACCAGTGTGATAGTTGGAGCTGTGTGTCAACTTAGCTGGACCACAATTCTGTGTGGTGTAAGCAATTGTGATGTAGGTTGTTCCAGTGATGGGATCAGATGTGTATGTTTTGAGCAGCCAGTCCATTGAAAGGGAGTTTCCCTAGGGTTGCGGCCTGCTTCCAGTATATTTATGGACATCCTGGGAAAAGAGACACTCTTCTGTGGATGGGATTCTGCCTACAACTGTCCGTGAGCAAACAATCCACCATTCGGCCCAGAGCTCTTGGATTCGTCATTCATTGGAGTCAACAGCCAGCATACTGCCTGCCAACCTTGAGTTTCTCATCTCCTGCAGCTGCATGAGTCGGGAAAAGCCTCCAGCTTGACATTTGATCGAAGAACTTGGGACTTAGGAGGTTCTATAAGTGTGTGAGCCATTTTCCTAAGATAAATTTCTCTTTCTCTCAATATGTAAGCTTTACTGGTTTTGTTTCTCTGGAAAACCCAGTCTAGCACAGCCAGACTTACTGATAAATACTAGTGGAATCCCCGAGACTATCTTTCTTAGACTCTCTTCAAACCTGGAACTCAACCTACTTCTGGAGATCATATTTTAGCCAAACAATAGACAGGCATATAAAGTGAACAGTAACACCCATGAGGAACGTATTGCTCAGAATATTCAACTATATAAGACCAAAGGGTAGTGTATTCCCAAAACAAAGTTCAGAAGGCAGGAAGGGGCAGGAAAGATGGGCAAATAGAAATGGGGAACTTGGGGGAAATGAGAAGAGGGCTATTACATTAAAGGGATACAACTAATGTTACAAAACAAAATGTGTATAAATTATTGAATGGCAAACTAATTTGCTATGTAAACATTCACCCAAACCACAATAAAAAGTTCAAATAAGTAAAACAAATCAGATTAAGTATTTATCATTTACTGAAAAAAATCTGAAATCATCATTGTAACCTCCAAAACTCTACCTGTTCTGGCTCCTGTCTACCTATCTAAATTTATCTTCTACAAGTCTCTCCCTTACTCACTCTGCCAAGGCACACTCACCATCTTGCTATTCCTTGAATTGCATACTGGTATTTAGGTTTACATAATCATTTAACAGGCACTCTGGTGGCATAGTGCCTAAGGCATTTGACTGCTAACCAAAAGGCTGGAGGTTCAAACCCACCGGCCACTCCTTGGAAAGAAGGTTGGGCAATCTACTTCCGTAGTGATACCACCTTGGAAACCAAAGGAGGGGTCTCTATGAGTTGGATCTGATTAGACGGCAGTGAGTTTGTTTTTTTTTTTTTTTTTTTAGTCATTTAACAGCAAAGAGGGCAGTGTGGTTGGATGGGGGTGATGCAGTCACAGAAGTAATTAGGGAGAGATCATATTGTGTCTTGTAGTCTATAGTAGTACCTTTGACTTTTTCTCTAAGGAAGATGGAGAGCCATTGCAGAATTTTGAGCATATAAACTGGCATGTTTGACTTGATGATTAAAAGCATTATTCTGGTTGTTGCATTGAGTATAGAGTATTGAGGGTAAAGGTAGCAACAGGGAGTGCACTTAAGAGGCTATTGCAATAATCCAGAGATAGAAATGTCTTGGACCAATATGGTAGCAATGGAGAAGTGTATATGTGTATTTTGAAGAATATTTTGGTGGCTGAAGATCAAATAAACAAGATTTCCTACCAGATTGAATGTAAAATATATGAAAAATAGCAATACCAAGATAATGCCAAAGTTTTAGAGCTTTCAGGCAGCTGAGAGGATGGAATTTACAAAAACTGAAATGGGAAAGGTTGTTGATAAAGTCAGCATGTGGGAAAATTAGGACATACATCAGTAAGTTTACATGCATTGTAAATCTAACATAGATGTTAGTCATCCAAGTGGAGACGTAGAGCAAACAGTTGGGTATATAGTTTGGAGTATGAGAGAGACATCTGGACTAGATGCATAAACATGGTGGTCAGCAGCACTAGGTGGTATATTTTAAAGACAGTTACCAAGAACAGAATACACAGTATTTTTATGCATATAATGCATGCCTTTTGCATTTGTTTCCTTCCTCCCCCTA